TCACTTCCGGTTTAACCCTAGCGTGAGCTGCTGCGCATTCAAGCTGTCCTCTCCCTTTGAACGTCGCATATCTTCCGCACGCTTGGTTCTCTGCTATCTTTATTCTTCCCGTTCCAATAAAATTGCTTCTTCCTACATGAACTTTAAATGGGAAATCTTTTCTAGCCCACTTTCTCATTATAATTCTGATGCCAGTGGCTTTACAAATCTCTATAGACTAAGCAGGATCCGATTCAGCGCAATTGCCCGCATTTGCGTTGGCGTAACGGAGCTGTGTTAAAATCTTAGGTCTGTGCTGGAGACACGGCAATCATCCAACGACAAACTTTCACTCTTTAAACTGGGAGATAACTTCGACCTTTGATTTTCCCATGCCAATATACTTTTGGCCTCGGCGGTTTCTAAAGACCGGAAGTGATATATGTTTCACAACCTGTCGACGGAAACAATGATGAAGGCTTCCACCTTTGACGTGCAGTTCGACACTGTTGTCGGCTCACTGCTAAAGTCCCTCTGCTGCGTCTTTGCGAGGCCTAACCTTCCCCCCTATGAACACGTATTGGCATATCTCCTCCCGATTGCAGCTCCTTGGGGCGAGAGCATGGGATTATTTGGGCAGCCTCTGCTAGGAGGAGCCGAACGGACTTTTACACCGAGCACCCGGTACTTCTAATTAGCAGGAACTGTGGCTAGCCGAATCCGGTTCCCTAAGCCCGGTAGAGAGAGAGAAGACAGAGACCACGTTACAGCGTGTGTACTCAGACAAGCACGTTACAGTAAGACTACGCAAGTCATTCTCACACAAAGGTTGAATGTACTTAAGGGGGAACACGAGGGACAAAGCCGAGTAAAAAGGCCAATCAGATAGGAGGAAAAATCGAAAATCAGGTCGCGCTCTCATGACAGCTGCGTAAGATGAGCTCGCGGTCCTTTCTGTGAGATAAATAATCCTGGGAATGGGCGCATTCCCAACACGAACAGACAGCGAACAGCTAGGATACAGGTAGCACGCCGCGCTCACGACAGGCTATCGATCGGTTTACACGCGCTGAACGCAACTGGCGGTCCATCAATCAATAATTTAAAGTTTAAACTGCAGCCAGCCATGAGTCACAAACCAATCGTGCCCCTACCCACGCCAGGACGGAGGCTGATTGGCTCGCTGGACATAGTTTTATCCTAAATATGTTATACCAAGTACGTTCGAATTTTTTGCTTTTGCCCACTTCTTGTCGTGTTCTTCCTTGGGGGCTCACACTAGACGTGATAAGGCGGTGACATCTCAGCCTTGGCTACCGATAAAACAATTGGCAACACAGATTCAGAAATCATTGTGTCCACCTCCACAAAATAATTGATCGCTATCCTGCAGCAACAACAAACCGAATTCGAGGTGGCTCACATGAAGTTGATGGAGTCCATGATGCAAAAATTAAGCTTGCATTTTTCTGATCCAGATTCTTCTGCGAAATAGTCCATATCAGCGGACGCAGCAGTTGCTCCTATCACAGAGTTTACTTAAGATCCTGACTCCGGTGTGAACTTCGACGCTTGACTTAAAGGTTGGGAGGATATATTCCGCGTGGAGTTTGCCAAGGCTGATTATACTTGGAAGGTGCGCCTACTACTACGCAAACTGTGCACCAAAGAACACGAGCGGTACACGGATATCATTCTGCCGAAAAACTTACGTGACTTCACTTTCGATGAAACAGTCAACCACCTGTCAGAGATCTTCGACGAGAAGTCCTCCTTGTTCAACTGGTCAAGGACAAGACAGACGATTTTCTGACACTCGCCAGTGTCAGAAACCGCGAGTGTGAAAGGTTCAAGCTCCGAGATATGACAGAAGATCAATTCAAGTGCCTCATCTTTGTGAGTGCCCGGCAGTTACCTCGTGATCCTGAAACCAGAACTCGTCTGCTCTCCAAGATTGAACAGGACCCGGACCCCACTCTGCAGACATTGACGGCCGAATGTCAACGGTTCGAAAATCTTAAGCATAATTCTGCGATCGTGGAGCAATCCAGTTCCTCGTTTGCCGTTCATGCTGTCACTCGCACTAAGTCGATGTCGCCACAGAAGCCTTAAAACTCTTCATTCAGAAAATCTCCATCAGCATGGTGGCAGTGCGATGATTAACATTTTGTTCGCCTCTGTCCATTCACGAATCACTTACGTCAGAAATGCCACAAACGAAGGCATAAGGTAGACCACTGTCCAGCAGGCCAACCCCCCAAATCAAGGGCAGACGACAGGAAGAAGAGACGTTCCAAACGCCCTTCGTCTTATTGTGGTCTCAA